GCACAAGTTCCAGGACATCGAGGGCTACACAGAGAAACCCTGTCTAAAAACAAAACAAAACACAAAAACAAGACAAAAGGAAAAAAGGTAAGAAAGAAAATTGAGGGTTAGATTTCGCAATGCCACCTAAAATCTGAAGAAGGCAGTTGAAGAGTGTGGAACCAAATGTCTCCCTGGAACTGGGATCACAGGCATGCCCCACCACACCCCAGCTTTTTTGGAGATTATGCCTCAATGTAGATTAGGATGACCCAGTTAATGAAGGAGGGGAAGTCAATGCAGGAAAGTCCTGTCACCGGTGAGGGGAAGGGACCCGGGATGCTCAAGGGAGAGCAAACGGGTGCATCCCTGCAACCCCTCCAGCAGGAAAGGAGGTTGAGCCCAAGCACAGAGGCTGGAATGCTTGGAGCAGGTGTCGAGGGTGGAAGGAAATGTCTGTTTTCCTAGGGAAAGAGAAGCAAGGATGTCCCTAGAGAAGGGGACACAGGCAGAGAAGTTGGAGTTAAGAAACGGAAGGCCCCCTCTCTGTTCTCTAGGACTGGAGGTGGCTGAGTCACTCTGTAGGTGGTGGGCCTGATGTTACAGTGAGATCAGCAGGGCTGTGTCCCTCCTGAGCCCCAGTCAGCTGTGGAGGATTATTTGGGGTGTGGCTTTGCCAGGTGGAGGCAGTTTAATGATGGGAGAACAAGGGGGTGAGGGTGTATGCAAGGAAGTAATCCCGGGGATGGCCATGGACTCTGAGCTGGTGAAGGGAAGTCCAGTGAGAGAACGGAGGACCTGGTAGGTGAAGAAGCTAGTGGAGTTGGGACTGTATGTGTAACAGAAGAAATGAGAGGGAAGGCTGTATCAACAGTATACAGGCTAGGGACACAATTACCAGTAATGACAATGTCCATTACCTTGGCTGTGAGGACATGAAGTAGGCTGCAGGCCAAGAGCCACAGGAAGAGGGGATGGGTGAGCGCCTCTGGGAAGGATCACCTGTGTGTAATTTGGCTTCCCAAGTCAGCCTCTCAGGTGAAGTCCTCACTGGGACTTAGGCCTGGAGTTCAGCCAGACCTGGGCATGAAGTCTGTCCTTCCAGTTCTGAGGCTCCACACAAATGACTTCGTTTCTCCAGCCTCGGTTTCTCCTCCTGCAAAGTGAGCGATTGCTCTTGGGTCGAGAGATTATGCTCTGCAATCTGATGAGGTGTGGCGGGCATAATGCAGGGAGCACGCTGGGTGGTGTGGGTTTATTAAGCAGCCACACATCAGTTCCCAGAATGCTTTTTTCTGGGGTCCCAGAGCCGAGGTGCCGATGTAGGAATCGAGCCTCTCAATCAGATGGGATGAGTGGGAGAGCCTGCCCCTATTTCACTCCAGTCTTACAGAATAAGCAGCTGGGGTCCAGGCAGGCAAAGAGGTTGCTTTCTATCACTACAATGCTATTAGCACAGAGAAGAATCTCCCTTCTAAGATCAGCTGGAGTCATAATTAAGAGGGGAAACATGTACAGAGGCTCATCTGTAACATCCCAAAGCCAACTAGACTTAAGATGCACCCAGAGCGCATTGCCTTCACTCACTGGGATACTTTAAAGCTGGTTTTAATGGAAACAAAAGATCTTACTGGGCACACCTGTTGTGTTCTCTCTTAGCTCCCTACATTCCCCAAGTCACCCCTCAACCCATTGGGCAAACATGGAAGGCATCAACTTTGTGAATGGAGTGTTGACAGCAGGGTGATTCACAGTACATGTGTTGGCTAATTGCTCTCCCTAGCCCAGACAGAAGGAAAGAGATAGGCAAAGAGATTTGAATTTCCTTAGAAAACTTGATCAAGTATGTAAGAAGCACCCTAGTCTGGCTTGTCCCTCAATGGTTTTCAACCTAGCCGGTCCACCTGGGGCAAATCCCTCCTGGTCTCTATACCCCACACTCTCCATTTATAAATGAGAAGATGAAGACAGTGAAGGCCAAAGCCTGCTTATCTGGGACCTTCAGGTGCTACCATTATGTGGTCTGGTGTCTCTCTGGCTGCCCTGGCTCTTTGGGGACAAACACAGAGAGGTAGGGCAGAAGGGGGCCAGGCAGATTCATCATGCCAAGAAGCTGCCCTGGTCAAGCATCTCAGTTCCTCCTCTTTTCAGTCTATTTTCAGGCCTATTCAGGCCTATATTCAGGCCTATTTTCTTTTATCTCAGCCCATATCTGAAATGTCTTGTTTACTTCTCTGTCGTCTTTCTACAGTCAAAAGTTCTAAAAGAACAAGGACATTGCCTGCCCCATCTCAGAGTCCACCCTAGCATCTGGCACCTAATAGGTTCCTTGTGTACACTGGGAATGTTGACTGAAGAATGAATAAATTGAGGGATGGGTGTTGTGGGTGATGCCAGGGCTGTGTCAAGCATGACCCTGTGACCTGTGCCAACTTCTAAGAGGAGGGGCTGGAAATACAGTCAGGAGGCCTGAGTTCAAGCCCTATACTGCCAATTAGTGGTTGTATGACTTTGGGCACATCACCTGACCTCTGGAGCCTTAGTTTCTTCATCTGCATATCTCCAAAAATGATCTCACCTACTGAGGCATATTTTCGGGAATGAATGGTCACATTTGAAACATGTTAGCCCCTCCCCCCAGTCGCCTTCTGCTGGGGGATGAGCAGAAGCAAGCGACAGTGCTATTCTGTGTACTTTGCGATGTTTTGGGTTGGTTTTGGTGCTGGGGGAACAGACCCAGGCCCTTGCACTAGTATGTGCAAGCATTGGGAGCCACTTGGTCAAATGCCCAGGCAGGAGAGCGCTATGGCTGGACCTCGAACGCTTTCATCAGTGGCCACAGGGATCTTGGTGAGCCCAGGTTTCTGAGATAAGTCAGCCAAAAGAGCTCATGTCTTAACTTTCTGCTTTTTTGTGGCATTAGAGATAGACGCCTGGGCTGCTAGCAATCGGCCACTGAGCCACATCTCCAGCTCTACTTTATTAATTTTTGAAGTCAGGGTCACAGGGAGGTGGTGGCACACACCTTTAATTCCAGCACTTTGATCCCTGAGCTGTAGGCCAGCCTGGTCTACAGAGTGAGTTCCAGGACAGCCAGGGCTACACATAGAAACTGTCTTGAAAATTCAAAAAAGAAAAGGAAGAAGAAAAAGAAAGGAGGAGGGAGAGAGAAGGGGAAGGAAGAAGAAAGGAGGAGGAGGAGAGGAAGGAGAAAACGACTATAGGGTCTCACCACGTAGTCCTGGCTAACCCAGAACTCAATATGAGTAACCTTGAGTTTATGTCTCTTTCTGGGATGCTGGGATTACATGCCTGGTGTATATAGTTCAGGGATCAAGCTCGGGGTTCATATATGCTAGGTAAAACCAATCCAGCCACATGCATCCCTTTATCTGTTTGTGTCCATCAAAAGTATATATGAAAAAATAATGAGCCAACTGGTGGTGGCACATGTCTTTAATCCCAACATATGGGCAGCAGAGGCAGGTGGATGTCTGTGAGCTCCAGGCCAGCCTGGTCTAAATCGAGTTCCAGGACAGACAGGCTTACACAGAGAGACTGTCTCAAAAAACAAAACAAACAAATAAAAAGATAGCTCAGGGATTAAAGGATCTTGTCACCAAATCTGAGAATTTAAATTTGATCCCTGGATTACTCTCCACCCCCCTACACACACACAGAGAGAGAGAGAGAGAGAAAGAGAGAGGGAGGGAGAGAGAGGGAGAGAGAGAGAGAGAGAGAGAGAGAGGGAGGGAGGGAGAGAGAGAGAGAGAGAGAGAGAGAGAGAGAGAGAGAGAGTAAATAAATGTAAGGAATGGTGGTGGTGCATGCTTTTAATTCCAGCAATTGGAAAGTAGAGGCAAGCAGGTGTCTTGAGTTTGAGGCCAGCAGATCTGAGTTCAAGGTCAGCCTGATCTGCACAGGGATCAGTTAATGAGACCCTATCTCCAAATATAAAATAACAAAAAATAAAAACAAAAGAATATTTAAAGAGTTAAATTAGCAACCGACTTCACTGGGGAGAATAAAGGGGCATTGCTCAGGCTCACCCAGTGAACGCATAGTGCCTTCTCTCGGGGTTTCCAGGAGAGGGAAACGAGGGTAGCATTGTCCTGGCTTCCGGAAAGAAATGTGTGTTCTGGTCTGAGGCTGGCTAAGCTGTGTCCTGTCAGACCCTGGGGTATAGTAGCTGCTTCTAAATCCTAATTCTTCCTTCACTGCCATGTTACTCCTCAGCCTGTCTTACAGGAGAACGGGAGGATATGGAATCTGTTATACTGGGAGAATGAGAACACTGCAGTTAATAAATCAGGGTGACTCAAATACGATTTTTTTTTCTCCTCCCAACACATGTATTTTAAAATCTGAAAAAATCTGGGTAAATTCAAAACTGCAATAAGTCTCGGCCTCTATGTCTGTAAAGAGAGAGAGAGAGAGAGAGAGAGAGAGAGAGAGAGAGAGAGAAACCCAAAACACAGAAATATCTATTCCAGAAAGGCCCTGGATCTACCCAGATGGAGCGGAGAGAGGATGCTGCATAGGTTTTTACACCTCCATAGAGCCATAACGAACACTCACACACTACATGAGATTTGTAATAATAATGCCCTCTTTCTGAGCAGATTTCACCTCACCTAAAATGGAAGATGTACATCAGGCATTCTGTGGTTCAAAGGGCCAATCAAGGGAATAAATTAGAAAGGGGCCTCCTCATTTAACACTGCAACTTAACTTTACAGTAAGACCTCCCTCCCTCCTACCGCTGGAGGGCGCTGTCCCTCTAGATCCCGGCTCGGGCCAATCACAGGCTGCAGAAGTTCTTTAAAGACCAAAGGAGGGAATTCAACCGGAGGGAGGGGGCGGGGCAGAGGCGTGCCTTTCGGCCAATCAGAATCCCCAGGAGCCCTACTCCTGTGCAAAACTGGGTTGGCCAATAGTAGGGGTGGGACGAGAGGCGGGGCGGCTCCCGCTGTGTGACAGCTGTGCCGACCAATGAGTGTGCGGCCCGCTGCCTATAAGAATCAGCTGGGCCCCATCCACCTGGCTCTAAGGTCTGTTAGTCCTAGGCGCCGACGGAGGTGTCCCCTGGGTTTACCTCGCCGCCGCCGGGCCCCGCTCCCCGCCCCCAGTCTCGGCCGCTGCGCAGCCACTCTCACTACTCTCCTTGACTTAACCATTCCCGGGTTTCTGCCGTCGGGGCGCCGGGGCCGGGCGAATGATGCCGTCGGAGAGTGGAGCTGAGAGCCTGGAGCGGCCCGCTGCGCAAGTGGGGACGGATGCGTCCTTGGCAGTGGCCATGGCTGGGGCGGCCGGCGGCGGCCCGGACCCGGAGGCCTCCTCGGTCTCTCCGGGACGACACCAGAGCCGGCTGAGCTGGCCACAGGTGAAGCGGCTGGACGCGCTGCTGAGTGAGCCGATCCCCATTCACGGGCGAGGCAACTTCCCCACGCTGAGCGTGCAACCCCGACAGATCGTGCAGGTGAGGTGGTGTTGGCTGGGACGGTGTGTGTGTGTGTGTGTGTGTGTGTGCTCTGCCGCAAGATACCTGGAGTCTGTCATTGGCCTGGCAACTAGGAAAGCCAAGGACGGGGAACCTGGGCTACCAGCTCTGTTCTTCCCGCACCCTATTGAACTTTCCTGCCCACAGTTTTGGGGAGTCCTTATCCTCTGGGAACCACTCACCAACACCCTGGCTGGGAGATGAGGAAGGCACTAGATGGAGGCATCACCCCATCTGCACGCAAAGGCAAAAGATACAGCAACTGCCAGTGAGGAGTGTGTATGCTTGGCTCCAAAATAGCTTTCTTCCTCTACTCCACATCCTTGGACCTCCTGCAACCTCAGAGTTCCAGGGGCACTGTCCTTGTGTTCTCATAGCTCTTGGCTCAAGAGACCTAGGCTAGGTGAAACAGCTCAGAAACCCTTGGGAAGACTCCCTGCCTCCCACGTGCTTCAGCCAGACCCGAGACCCCACCCCTGAAGATAGCATCAAATTTCCATTTTAGGTGCTCCTGCTCCCTTAAGACTGGAAATGAAGGCCAATCCAAGGTTCAGACCCCAAAGCACCATCCCCCCTCCTGAGGAGGTATGGGGAAGGTTCTAGCAGCTGCTCCCTCCGTCAAACTCCATCTTCCTTTTACTTAACCCCGTATGACCTCAAACTTACTCTTTGGGGTTATAGCCTGAGCACTTCGGTATTCTGAAATACCGAGGGGGTGCCTGTTCTCTTCCCCCTATTCTAGCTAAGGACTCAGGTGGGACTGAGAGCTGCCTAAGACTACCTAGTGAGGTGGAGATAAAACTCGGGCAGGCGGGGGTGGGGGTGGGATTCCAGGAACTCCCTGGGAGCAGATGGTACAGGTTCCAGAGTTTGCCACCACTCCCCTGGCTCCTAAGCTCTTAGGGGAGTCTGATAATAGAAACCAGAAAAGTATAGTGATGCCTCCTGTGTGTTACTGCCAATCATGGGCTTTACACACAAACCGGGTGAAACTGGACATCCCCCTGCTACTATAGCCTCCAACAGAAAGGGAGGGTGGCTGCTGGGGGATGGTCTTAAGCTCCCTTCCTAGGAACAAGGAATGAGATGGAGGGGGGCGGGACGGATTCTCCTGGGCTGACTCACTGGCTGTCTCAGTGTAGCTGACTGAAGCATTCCTTTCTTGCCCGATGTTGTAGGGATTATTAGTAAACGCACTTTGGCTTGTTTTGTTTAGAGACAGGGTCTTCCTATGTTTTGCCTGGCCTCCTCTCAAATTTGTAGGCCCAAGTGAACCACTTGCCTCAGTATCCTGAGTAGCTGGGGTTGCAGGTGTATGCCTATTATGCTTGCTTTTCTCCTGAGGAAATACCATAGTCCCAGGCATGAAGGGATGGAAAGGTGGTGTCCAGCATGATCACACCTCCACAGGAACACTAAGGGCGCAAATGTGACTGGGTACCAACCTCTGTCTCCTAGTCATGTGAGGGAGCCAATTTCATGCATGGTATGGTCCTCCTAAACTAGGGACATCCCAGGACAGGGAACTGTTGGTTGTGGAGTAGGGAGGTGGCAGAAGCCTCAGGACTAGACTGAGAAGTTGGGTGTCTAGGTTCGTTGTTTATTCCCTCTGCTGGGTTTCATGGCCCCATCTGTGCAGTGGAAGTGAATTCGACTACTCAGCAATATCCTGTCTGGTTCCAGACTCCCAAGGGAACACAAGCCTTCACCTGCCTGTGTAGTCAGTCTGTCTCCTGGTGGGGAATCACAGCTAGCAGCTTTAGAAGCTGTTGTGATATTAAGGGTCTGGGGAGGGGGGTTCTTGCAGGACTTCTCCCCAGTGCTAAGTTGTCTCCTGATTCAAGAACGGAAAGCCTTCTACCTCCGCACCCAACAAGGTTTTCCCTACTGCAACAATCTGAGCAGCTTGTGCCTGGCTAGAGGGACCTCTTCTTAGTTGAGCCCCTTCTCTAACTCTGGAGACCACTTACCGTCCTTGTGACCTTGAACAAGTCATTTGTTTTCTCTCACCCCAGAGAATTGAACTCAGATCTCCAGCTGCAGCCAGAGGGCTTTGCAAGTCTTCAGTCTTCCTAAGGTCTCAGCACAAGCCCTGGACAGAGCAGTTTGGGGAATTGGGTGCCTCAGCATGGGAGAAGGAAACTACAGTCACTGACCCCTTCGTGGTTGGAAAGTCTGATTTGGGAGGCTGCAAGCTGCCCTGTAGTCCCTGGGTGTGGCAGTATCTGGGGACTGCCTGTCAGACTGGCAATAGTCATACCTGGGAAAGAGACAAGAGCCAATGGTTTGGCTGACACAACTGGCCCCATGGCCCTGACGCAGGGGATATAATGAGGGGATTGCTACTAACTCACTCACCTGGCCAGATGCCATGCCCTGGGGTGGGCATCAGCTGGGGAGCAGGAGTTGGCTTAAGGCCCAGCCAACTCACCTGAGACTCCAGGAGGGGGGTGGCCTCTCATTGGCTACCTGGGGACAGTTGCTGGGGTGTGCAATTGAAAGATCATATGCTGGCTATAGGAACTGGCCCTGTTTGGCTAAAGTCATTCCCAGCCCCTACCTTTTCATCACCAACTACTCTGGGCCTCTGTGATTTGAGGTTCATCCTCACTTTGAAAAAACAATGTCTAGTGGTGCACCTGCATTTCCTTCACTTAGGAGATGGAGGTAGGGGATTTGAGTTCAAGGACAACCTCAGCTAGTTAGAAGCCACCTTGAGCTACTGAGACTCTGTCTCAAAAAAAAAAAAAAAATATATATATATATATATATGTGTGTGTGTGTGTGTGTGTGTGTGTGTGTGTGTGTGTATAAGTGTGTGTGTATAAAATGATATATAGATAGGAATGGAGAAATTGGTTTAATTTTGATATCTGGTCTTGCTATATATCCTAGATTGGTCTCCAAATCTGAGAGATCCTCCTGCCTCAGCCTCCCAAGTTCTAGGATTACAGGTGTTCTCTGTCATGCCCAGCTGAAGTTTACAAGGGCAGGATTAGAACACAAGTGTATAGTCTGCTGCTTCTGAACCCTAACCTTAAATGTGGTGGAGAGGAGGGTAGGCTGTGCTAGGGGGTAGGGAGCCAAGTGTAGAGAGTGAGTTTAGCAGACATGACCTCCAAGTTCTTAGCAGCAAAACAAAAAGACAGACTTGGAATTGGCCATAGCTGGGTTTGATGTAAGGATGTGACTTCACGCCTGTGAACCTGTGTCCCCATCGATAACATAGAGATCATGAGGATCTATCCCCATAGGTTCTTGTTTGGTTGATGGGTTACTTGAGTTAGGTTTTGGTGCTGGGGATGGACTCTACACACATGTCAAGCGTGCCTTGTGCAGCTGAGCCACACCCAAGTCCCCTCCCCCACCACAGATTCTGCTGAGGTCCTGCATCTGGTACTTACTAAATACCTAACCCTGGTACTCCTCCCTTTCCCACCCCCATTACCATGACAACTCCTTCCGGAAGTCTTCCTGGAGGGAGCCGCCCGCCTCAGATTGCCCCACTGCAGCTTGCCTTCTCAGCATTTACACGCATTCTTCCTTCGCAGTAATTCCCTGGGAGGCTGGAGAACAACCTGCCCCAGAGCCCTCGCTGACTTGGCAACTAGGTGCGGTTGCAGAGTCACTGAGGGCAGGAATGCTGCCTGATCACTTTCAGGACACTGTGAAGGGCTTGGGGTTGCTGAGAAGCCTAATGTCTGTTCACCCCAGCCTCACTCCTCTCCCACGGATGCACTGCCCAGGGCTGTAGCTAAGATCCAAGTTCCAGGAGACGACTCACAGGTGTCCCTATCATGTGCCCATGCCATCACCCCTGGGGCTCCAGGTGGGGTCCTCCATAGCCTCCTGCCTCAGCCTCCTAAGTGGCTGGGATTACAGGCCCGCTCCACCACTCCCGGCTCGGCCCTGTCATTTCTGAATGGCTTCTGTTCGTGTAGTATTTGCTTCCCTGGTTCCTTGTGAGGGCAGACAAACAAGCAGAAAACAGTGTGTGTCATAGTCAAAAGAAAGAATGGGGTAGGAGAGAAGGCTCAGCAGTTAAGAGCACTGGCTATTCCCAGCATCCAGAGGACAATCCACAACCACCTGTAACTCCAGTACCAAGACTCTGAAGCCCTCTTTTAGCCTCCGTGGATGGAGTACATGTGTACATGCAGGCAAAACATGCATATACATAAAAATTTAAAAAGTATGTTAAAAACTGAAAATAGCTAGGCGTGGTAGAACACCTCTTTATTCCCAGCACTCAGGAAGCAGAGGCAGGCAGATCTCTGAGTTCGAGGTCAGCCTGGTCTACAGAATGACAGCCAGAGCTGCTACATAGTGAGGTCCTGTCTCTAAAAACAGTAAAAATAAAAAGTCAGAATTTTAAAAATTCAAGAGAGTATACATGGACTTGTGAGTCTAACCCACCTGGGTTCTGGTCTTAGGCTGCTTATATCACAGCCTTGGAGGTGTCTTTTTACACCCCGTCATCTGTTGACTGGAATAGTAGTCCTCAAAATGGGTTGTCATGGAAGTTAATGTGCGAAGGCATGTGGGGTGCTAAGCAGCCCATCACGCAGTGCCTGGCAGGATCCCAGGTGTTTGACTTGCCATGTTAGGAAGGTCGGGTAGCACAGTGGGAAGAGCCAGGCTCTGCGCTGAATGCCTAGCTCTGTATTATTTACCAGCTGTGTGACTTTGGACGGCTATTTCCCAACCTGTGAAGCAGGAATATACCTTGCCTCATCAGGTTATTATGAAGATTAAGTGAGGTTGTATTTTAATGTAAAGTGCTTCGTAAGTTCTCAGCTTGCATTTGTTATTTTTACTGCTCTTCTGAGTCATTCCTTTCAATTGGGCCCTTCTCCAGATTGGCAAACCAAGGCTTTGTGAGTTAAAACACTTCACAAAGACACAGAAGCTGGTAAGAGGTCAACAGTGATGGGTGGTAGCATGATTAATCCTGGAAGTCCTTGGTGAAGGCCTGAGAGGCCCAGGCACCTGACCTCCTCTCCTCCCCACCCTCCCCTTGCAGGTGGTCCGCAGCAGCCTGGAGGAACAGGGATTGCATGTGCACAGCGTTCGATTGCACGGCTCAGCCGCCAGCCACGTGCTGCACCCCGAGAGTGGCCTGGGCTACAAGGACCTGGATGTGGTGTTTCAGATGGACCTGCAGAGTGAGGCATCCTTCCAGCTGACCAAGGCAGTGGTCCTGGCTTGCCTGCTAGACTTCCTGCCAGTGGGAGTGAGCCGGGCCAAGATCACACCTCTGACACTCAAGGAGGCCTATGTGCAGAAGCTGGTGAAAGTGTGCACAGACGTGGACCGCTGGAGCCTCATCTCACTATCCAACAAGAGCGGTAAGAACGTGGAACTCAAGTTTGTGGACTCGGTGAGGCGCCAGTTTGAATTCAGCGTTGACTCCTTCCAGATCATCCTGGACTCCCTGCTGCTCTTTGACCAGTGCTCGCCCACACCCATGTCAGAGGCCTTCCACCCGACTGTGACAGGCGAGAGCCTCTATGGGGATTTTGCTGAGGCCTTGGAGCACCTGCAGCACCGAGTCATTGCCACACGAAGCCCTGAGGAGATCCGTGGTGGTGGCCTCCTCAAGTACTGCCACCTCCTGGTGCGGGGTTTCCGTCCAAGGCCTAGCACTGACGTTCGGGCCCTACAGCGATACATGTGTTCCCGTTTCTTCATCGACTTTCCGGACCTGGTGGAGCAGAGGCGCATTCTGGAGCGCTACTTGGAGGCCCACTTTGGCGGAGCAGATGCAGCCCGCCGGTATGCGTGCCTTGTGACACTGCACCAGGTGGTCAACGAGAGCACCGTGTGCCTCATGAGCCACGAGCGCCGCCAGACGCTGGACCTTATCACCATGCTAGCCCTCCAGGCGCTAGCTGAGCAGGGCCCTGCTGCCGCTGCTGCCCTGGCCTGGCGACGTGCAGGCTCTGATGGGGTTGTCCCAGCCACAGTTAATTACTACGTGACCCCCATGCAGCCTCTGCTGCCCCGGGCTCACTCCTATCCCACCTGGCTGCCTTGCAACTGACTCTCATCTTGGCCAGAAGGCAATGTGCACCATGGGGGTGGGGCAGGTTCATCAGGTATGTGGGGAGGATGTAACCAGACACAGGCCATCCGTGGCAGCGGGCCTGGGACAATAGGGTTGGGCCTTTGAACAGACCAGACTTTCCCTGCATGAGGCTCCTATGGGCTCAAAGCCAAGTCAGGTTCTTGACAGGAGAACCGTTTGGTCATCACACCACACTCTTGGACCTGCATGACTTGGGTCACGGAGGCTAACTTGTCTTGAAAAGACAAAGTCAGCTCTGGTGTTCATGGGGGGAGCAGTCTCAGTAGAAACACTTTGGGTTAATTTCTCTGGCCTAGATGGGGTCAGCCCACAGGGGCCCCAGAAGCTCCTACGCTGGCTAAACTATGACGTCATATGACTCACTTGGGGTCTAGCTGAATGATTCACAGAGCCTGGTGGCTCATCTTCGCTGACCATTAGGTATGAGGCAGCTCCCTGGGTTTTTGGAGAGATGGGAATTCAGTCTCTTGAGACCTGCATGAACTTCTTGAGGTGCTGAGGTATATAGTTTACAGGTTCTAAACACCCAGGATAGGATGCATACACCTCCCAGCCTGTCACCCTCTCCCTTCCCTTGTGGCCCCTCAGGAACCTGCTGTCCGGACACTCAATGCTGGGTTCAAGGTTGCCACAGTCAGCCACCCATTTGCTTGGTTATAGGATTTTCACACAGCTGGGGGGAGGCCCTTCCCTCTTCCCATTCCTCTGGACTGGTTGCTGTGCTACACTCTTCCCACCAATAAAAATTGTCTACACCGAGCGAGCATAACTGTATGCTGTCTCCTAGGTAAGGCTCTCTACCGCATAGGGCTGACACTGCCTCCCCAGGCTGAGTCTGACTTGTATTGTGGGAGGAGCGGAAGAGTAGCTGTGGTGTGTCCCTCTCTCCTGTCCCTCCCGTCCACAGCTTGACAATCATGAACTGAGAGTGTGGCTGGTCTCATGTAGCCTCAGCAAGTCTAGACCTCTCACATTAAAAGGAATGTATATCCATCTCTCCAGGTTCTGTCCCTGGAATCCTAGAGGCCCGGACCTGGCCTCTGGTGAGCACTCTATCTCCCCAGGAAGCAAGCAGGGTGAATCTGAACAGGAATGAAAGCCGAGGCTGGGGGACTTGGAGGGTCCCCCAGACTCCAGGTGGGGTCTCCCCACCAAGTAGACATGGACATGCTCTAGCTTGTTATAAACAGGCTCCCTGGAGAGGGGCTGGGTCTCTCTGAACCCAGCTGGGGCCAGCTATGTGGTTCAGCAGTGTCAGCTTTTGGGGTGCTGTTCCCTGAGGGCATTGGCCAGTCACTTTTGAATGATGCCCACTGTTTACACAGCCTCTTTGATCTGGGAATCCCAAAGCCTTGAACCTATGCAGCCTCATTAGGCTGCTCTGAAGTGGTGACTTTGATGGTTCCTGTCAGGGTGGAAAAATGAAGGCAGCAGAAGAGGCCCCGGGTGTCAGAGGGAGTCCTCACCTGCTCCATGGGTTTGGCGAGGTGCCTCAGATCCTTCTCCTCATGGCTCTAAACAGCTGGAAGTGGGGTTGAAAAGGCTCTTTCCCACTCAGCTGTGGCCACCTGACTAAGGCTCTCAGAGAACCTACCTCCCGGTTTGGCCATTTGAGCCAGGACCTGAGCTGGAAGCAGTGCCAACACAGCGCGTTCAACGGGTTGGGGTGAGCGTTCACCTGGATGCGCTTAATTCAGGAAATGATCTTTGTGTGTGTGCACTGTCTGAGCTCAACCACATGCCTGTTACGGTTCTGGGTCTTAGGATTCCCTACCCTTGTGACAGTTACAACCTAATAAGGTAAACTGTGATCTTAGAAGGTCAGCAATGCATAAAAATGTATGTAACAGGGGACTTCAGTTCACACAAGGTGCCCCTCCTTGAGAGCTGGTATTGGACTGAACAAAGGCTGACAGGTTCTGGGAAGTGAGCCATGTAGCTGTCTGGAGAAAGTGTTCTGGGCCAAGGGAACTTGTCTGAATGTACACGTGCCCTGGCAGGCATGTCTGAAGGAGGGCACGTGTGCCTGAGGATGTGCGGCTGATCCTGTGTGGGTGTGGGTACTCTCTGGGGGCGGTACACACACGTGCATGGATGTGAGGAAGTGGGGGAGTGGCATTTCACAGCAACAGCTGTGTAGCATGATTTATCCCCGGCCAGATGCCATGCTTAGGGATACCAAAGCATCACTTGGGGCTGCATCCTTCTAACAACTCCAGAGAATAGTACTATTTCCATTGTAGAGACAAAAAAAGGAGGCCAAAGTGGTCCAAGAGGTTTGTCAGACTCAAAATGTTGCTTCCCACCCCTGTATTGTAATGCCATATGAATGATGGTGACAAGTCTGTCTCCTGTGCGTATGTGTCAAGACTCGGGCTATTTTCTGTATGACTGGCGGAGTGTAGTAATGTGCCAGGACATACATTTTCTTGATGTATCTGTGCCAATAGTCATGGCTTGGGGTGATTGTCTGGGACCTGTTGTGGCAACACCACACCTGTGAGCCTGTGGGTGTGGTGCATTGTTTCCGGGTGTGAGAAAGACACTCTGTACCTGTCATTGTTCTTGTGGATGCTAGGATGTGCAAGCATCAGGAATCTGGAATAGAGGACAGGTGAGGGGAGAGAGTCCAGTCCTTCACCTTGTAACCACTGTATCAGCAACAACCCACCGACCCCTTCCCTTCTGGTATGCAAGTCAGAGGGCCAAAGCCACAGTGGTTGGAAACTTGAGGAAGGGCACCCCCAGGCAGGCACATGGTATGCTGGCCCCTCCAGAGCTACTACCCACCCTTGTGCTCGGCCCGGGGAAGCTGTTGGGGGAGTCAATGGCTCCCTTGTTCCCCTTCCTGCTGTTTGTGACCAGGAGAGGGTGTTTACTCTAGTCCCTCCCTCCCAGGCTGTCATGGTGCACACCCCTCAAGCAGTGACAGCAGCTCTTTAACTCTTGCCCTCCCTGCCCTCCCTGCGGCAGGCCCAAGAGTGGGGAGAGTCCATTCTTGTGAATTATTCTCAGGAGCTCTCTCTGGAACCCAGGGCCTCCCACATTCTAGGCAAACATCTCCAGTTCTGTTTTTTGGAGACAGGGTATCCCATGTAACCCAGGCAAGTCTCCCATCTTCCTGCCTCAGTCTCCCAAGTGCTGGGGTTACAGCCATATGCCTCCAGTCCTGACTCCCCTTTATCAGATTCTCAGGTACACCCCACACCCTTTACAAAGAGTCCCTTTTTAAAAACTCTCCCAAGTTTAAATGTGCCTGTCTCCTGAGGAGACCTCAGTGGACAGGCTGTTGTCATCCACTGTCACAGTTTGTAAGCCAGTGCCCAGGCCCAGACTGCCAAACCAAACAAGCCCTCCAAGAGCTGTCAACTGAGAGACACGACCCACCCAGAGGAAAGGCAGCAAGGACGCTGGCAGCATGGACCTCAAAACCACACCTTTTAGCCTCACGTTACTGAGGTTTATTCTTCTCACGTGTATACAGTTGGGGAACGAGTCGATATATAACCACTTTACAGAAGCCTCTAAGTTCCGGGTGGTGGGTGAGTAAATGTGCCTCCCTCATCAGGATGCAAGAAGAAATGGATTTCCTTTGTGCACTAACTTTGCTTGGAAGTCTGATGTTGCCACCACCTCATCCTGAGAAAGAGGTGTCCCCCTAGGAGGCAGCAGCTGATTGTCTGCAAGGAGCCACAGGTAAGGAGCCACAGGTATGTCCTCGCTCACGTGGGGAGGACAAGGACAGTGGGCGAGGGAAAATGGGGCTTTCCTACACCCGTGATTTGCAGCAAATAGGCCTCCTGGAGCCATGGGACATAGTGATGATGGGGACTCCAGCTGCATTGTGACTTGTTTAAGAATGAGGAGTCTGTCTTTAAAAAGGAACCCTTCTCATGGTCACACCCGCCATGTCTGCTGACTCTCAGCTAACTGACAGCCCCTCAGGCCCCTGTATATAACGAGTCCCCAAGCCCCAGGCCCTTGCCGCTGTCAGGGCCCCCAAGAGGAAGGTGCTGAGACTGGGTAGTCAATCCTGGAAGTCTTCCTGGGGGCAGTATCCAGAGAAGGAGCAGAATGCAGAAGTCCAGACCCAGAAAGTGGAGGCTTAGGAGCTGGAAGAACAATACCAAGAGCCTTAATTACCTTTTCCAGAAGCTTCCCCACCCCACCCAAAACCTTCCACATCTGTCCCCTTGAGAAGGACTTGCCAGGGGGGAGGCAGGGCAAGAGGGTTTGCTATGGAAAGGGGCTCGGAGAAGCAGAGGTTCTCTTGGGTCTTTGTCCTTGGCTGGGATCCCCACCAGTCTGAGCAGCTGGAATGGAATGTCCTGGAATGAAGAGCCTGCCCCTCCTCCACTCCGCGGTCAGGAGCTCCCCAGGGCTGTCCCAGAGACTCCCAATATGGTGATGCTCTAGAGCCTCGGTTCTCAACCTTCCTAATGCTGCCACCCTTTAATAGTTCCTCATGCTGTGGTGACCCCCCCACCAGAAAATTATGACTCTAATTTTACCACTGCTATAAGCCTTATCTTTGTTTTCCAATAGTCTTAGGCAATTTCTGTGCCTAAGGTTGAGGACTCCTGCTCTAGAGCCACCAAGGCTTGCACTGTTCCTCCAATGAAATGTTATCTGTGGCCATTCTCCCCTGTCCTAGGCAGAGTGGTTTCACCATTCACAGAGCCCCACTATGAGGCACTCGGTAAGACTTCTTACACCCAGAAGTTAGCTCTTCTCTAGTGTTCCTCAAAATAATTGATTCGAGAGCTGGGGAGATGGCTCAGATGTTAGAAGCCTGCGCTGCTGCTCTGGTATAGGATGCAAATTCCGTTCCCAGCACCCATATCAAACAGCTTACAAATGCCTGTAACTTCAGTTCTGGGGGACCCCACTCTTGTGTCCTGCAAGAGCACCTGCACGCACATGCGTGCACACACACACACACACACCAGTTAAAGTAAAAATAGATCTAAAAAAGTTCAAAGCCTGGTAGTGGCACACATCTTTAATCCCAGCACTTGGGAGGCAGAGGCAGGCTGATCTCTCTGAGTTCGAGGCCAGCCTGGCTTATAGAGCAAGTTCCAGGACAGCCACGGCTACACAGAGAAATCTTGTCTCAAAAAACAAAAGATTTAAAAAGGGAAAGTCATTGCCCCAAGCTGACACAATTCAATTCACCCCAAGACCAAATTTCAAGTTTGTTCTGTTCAACTTTGGGCTCTTCTACCTACCAAAGTATATGTGATCCTCCTCTTCTGCTGCCCAGGCTCTTTGTACCTTGGCACCAAACATCCCTGCCTAAGTCTTCAGGGAGGGGAGACAGCCAGAGGCAAGCCTCAGCCATGCATACATCCCTGAACATCTTTGGTCCACCCTTGCCATAAGCCAGGTATGTTGAATCAGCTTGATTCACCCCCAGAACCCAGACAACTGGCAAAAAGTGTGTCCAGTCCCAAGGGACAGGGTGCAAGACACACTTTACCAACCCTCCAGCATCTCATACCTCCCTCCCCAGGACTGGACCCATTAAAAAATGAGAACTCAGAAATCCCCCAAAATGATGCTGTCATTAGCCCACTGAACTTAGAGGTTCTACACCTTTGAGAAGCCATCTGCTTACCTCTGCCCTCAGACCCATCGGTGGCCATGGGGTTAAGAGCCTTGCTTTTGCTGAGTGTTTGAGAGAATGTGAATAATGGGTGTAGAGTGTTTGGCACGGTGCCCAGTGTAAAGGAAGTGGTTCATTTATTCCAGAACTAAGGGTTCTCTCCTCTCATCACTCCTGGCCAGGGTGTAGTCAAAGGAATAATGGGGAAGAAATAGGCTGGGAATTTCCCAGCTTTCCTAAATACTTCCTTCCCCGCCTAGAGTCTTTCGAGCACTGAGACACCAGGGCACCCGATTGGTTCCCAATGAATCAAGCTGTCAGCACAAGACACTGCCCACTGCAGGTCTGGAACACCTTAGCCTGGACCTGTGATTTCAGCCATTGTCTAGGAATCACCTTGGTCGTTAGGTGGTGGCTGCTTGCATCGGCGTAACAAATCTGTGAATACAGAACTGACTTGGGTGGTGACGGTCAACACGGGAAGCCTTTTCCCAAGAAACCTTTCCTACTAGATTCTCTCCTTGAAGTCACAACTAGAGTTGTGCTCCCAGGAGTGACAGATGCAGATCAAAACCCCAGCCCAGCCTACTCACACTGGAAGCCATCACTGGACTCGCTCCTCAGTTATGGGCCCCAGGGACAGCCACCACCTCTTGTTCTGCAGACCCTTATACAGCCCAAAGCCAGAAAGCTCCAGAACCAAAGGCAAAGGGGCTGACTGAGGACTGGGCTACACCGAACAGAGCATGCTCCAGGCCACGCCCCCAACTCTTACTAAGTAGCTCCACACTGCCCTCTGGTGGCACTGCTGATCTAGAGGCTGGACCAGTCAAGATGCAAAGGGGCTTGTTTCTTTCTGTTTACTGACCACCCAGATCTACTGGTTGACATAATGCCTTCTTTGCACAGATTCCCCAGGGTCCCTGAACTTGCCCAGGCTGCAGGCTAGGGGCCATCAAGAAAGTATTCAGCCAGAGCTACATCAGGAAGTCATGTAGGTTCAGGGGTACAGTAATGTTAGCCAGTCTAAAACGTAATTTCCACTGGGCGGCAGTGGCCCACGCCTTTAATCCCAGGCAGAGGCAGAAGCAGACAGATCTCTGGAGTTTGAGGCCAGCCTGGTCTATAGGTGGAGTTCCAGGGCAGGCTCCAAAGCTACAGAGAAATCCTGTCTCAAAAAAGAAAAAAAAATCAACAAACAAACAAAAACCCTAAGACGTAATTTGCTTGGGATGTAGCTAAGTTGATACAGTGCCTGCCAAACATGGATTAGGCCCTGGGTCCAACAACAACACTACATAAACACAGCATGGTGGGGTGTTCACCAGAAACCCCCTGATTTGGGAGGCAGAGGCAAGAGACCAGAAGTTCACAGTTGGGGCCAGACAGGTAATTCAGCAGGTGAAGATGCCTCTGCCAGGCCTACCCACCTGAGCTCAACCTCTGGGATCCACGTGGTGGAAGAGAGAATGGATTCCTGTAAGTGTTCACCTGACTACAACACAGCACTTCAGAACATGCATGCTGCTCACCCACTCATGAATAAGTAATGAACGTTAAAAAAAAAAAAAGTTCAAAGTCATCCTCTGCTATTTATGGAGGTTAAGGCAAACCTGCCTCAAAAAACAAACTGAGAAAATAATCTGGGCCCCAGTTAGGTCTCCTGGGAGGTGACATCCGGGGAAAGCTAGCTGGAAGAGGTCTGGAAAGCAAGCCATTCAAGGTGGAGACCCTCCAGTGCATGTTTCCTCCTGAATCAAGGAGTAAATGGAAATCGGTGTCTGCTGGGTGAAGACAGAATGGGGCCAAATCTGGGAACCCTACACAGGATCCTAGGAGGGCCAGGCAGGGTGAGCAGGTGGCTTCAGTTGGTTGAAAGTCACAGAGCACACTAACATAACCTGAGGTTCAAGTCAGTGAGCTCTGTGTGCCTTGGTCCAGACTTTCTTTGGGGGCGAGGAGGACATCTTAGCATCTGAAAAGGGGGTTGGGGGAGGGGCCCACCCACCCTTCTCCAGCAAGTGTCATCTCTATGTCTCCACCCACCCCACCTCTAAATCAGGTCAAAGCTGATTACAAGGAGTCCCAGAGTCCACCCTAGCTGCGATGGTAGAAAGTACTTTATGTCCTTAGTGTGGTCCAGATCCAGTGTCATCACTGCAAACCTGACATCAGGCAGGCAGTCCTGGCAGCAGCCCAGCCTGAATGCCAGCTAGGTCACCTCAAGGAAGTCCTGTGTTCTCTGGGCCTCGGCCTCATGGCCTGGTCCCGTGGCTTCCTCAGAAGCTCTGAGCTCTCTAGCTAAGCAGGTTTCAGGAAGGCCTTCTGAGAACCCGCCAGTAAGTCTGTGGAGGGGAAGGCCTGGAGGGGGTGGAGTCAGCTGCGGAACCCTGCCTATCACAGTATACCTGACTACCTCCAGGACAACAGCATGGCTGTCACTCTGACATCTTCCTCTTCCTCAAGCCTGACAGGAAGGACACTATTGAGAAAAGATGTGACTCAGAGAGGGGGCAGTATTGTTCAGGGTCACTGGAGACAGGGTCCAGAGGTCAGCTCCCCCTAACTGGGATACAGTGGAAAGGGCGTGCACAGGCCTAGGACCATGTTCTCCCTCGCTCCTCTGGCATGTGACCTTGAGAAGTCCCTTTTCCATTCTATAAAATGAGGACTTTAAATCAGCTCCTGGCTCCTGAGACAAGCCAGCACCCATCTCTAGGTGTGATTTAAATGAGTAAAATATCCTACCATGATTTACAGTGGGAAAAGGAACCCTTCACCCCACCTTAGCCTCCCCACAGCCCTCCTGAGAGGTAGATGTGCTCACTTTACCGCTGACAGTGGATGCCATCAGCCACTAAGTGGGGACAGAAGAATGGGCGCCTGAAGGGCATCTGTCAGGAAGAAGCAGGTGGCATTTCCAGTCTGGCCCTTTAAGGCCCCCTTTCTGGAAACTGATGCCATGCCTGCCCCCTTGGGGCTGTTAAAGAGTATCACCTGGCTCCATCCCTGGCAGAGCCATCTTAGAGATACTTGGGGAGGGCTGCTAGTTGAGTAGGTGATAAACATTCCATTCGGGTCATCCCCATCAGGCTACAAACACAGGTAACAAAATTATTAGGAGTAGGAGAAAAACTGTCTCCTATAAACAGAGAGGCCTAAGTGCCATGGGGACAGATCTTCAACCTCTATGGGATTCTGCCTCCCCTAACGGGAAACAGGAGCTCAGAGGAGGAGAACCGGGTCATACAGCCCTGGGGCAGCCCTCCTTCCATCCTGGGACCATTTTCTTCCTCCCCAAGAGATGGAGCTGGGCTGTGGAGAAACCAGCAGTTTCAAGGGCAGGACTTTACTTACAGTCCCAAGGGACGCAGGAGAGGCCACACTTGCGCAGGTGAAGGTGCCAGATACTTACAGTCCCAAGGGACGCAGGAGAGGCCACACTTGCGCAGGTGAGGGTCCCAGGTACTATAATTTTATTGCAGCAGGCTCCAGCTAATTAAAGTTTGCCACCAAATCCCTTCCTGAAGCCTAACACCCTCCACTAATTCTGCTCTGTAAGGGGACTTGGCACTGCCATCTAACCCAGCATGAGAGAAGAAACCACAGGGAAAACAAAAACAAACGGTTCTATTAGGGCCCCACAGATGTCAGACGCCCCAGAGATGGGAGATCCCGGGCACCGCACCCCAGAAAGCACCAGTCAACAACACCTCACCTCAGTCTCACGTTCAAGGTCCCGTGGCCCCCGATTGTCTCCACCGAGTAGATGATGCCATCCATCTAGCCAGCACCCGGACCCGTCCGTCGGTCCGTCCGTCGTCCTTCCGCCCGTCTTGGGAAACCAGGGGTCCAGGGTTCTGAGGTCAGCGCTGGGGGGAGGCGGGGCCGCGGGGCGGGCTGCGGCGGAAGGGCGAGTCGGGCTCGGGGCAGTGACCGCGCCGCAGCCTCCCGGCGCCCCAGGGCACGCAGCTTCCCAGGCCGAGGGCGGATGCCAGCAGCGCGGGCGGACGACCCCGGCGGCCGCGGCGCGCACCCTTCTTGAGACGCGACCCGTGCGCCGCCAGGTAGAGCTCGGCCTGGGCCACTCCGCCGCTCAGGCGGCTCAGGCTCTCGGCGCGATGCGCCAGGCGCAGCTCAGCAGCCAGGAAGACTCGGTGCAGCTGCAGCACCCGGCTCTCCAGCTCCGACACCAGGCGCCGGCGGCCCTCCACTTCCAGCAGTCGCCGCCGCGCTTCTGCCAGCTCCAGCGCGCGGCCCCCCGCTCCTGCCGCCGCGCCCGCTCCCCCGCCCGCGCCCCCCGCCGAGCCCGCGCCCCCCGGGCCCCCACTAGAACCCTGGCGCCAGCGCTGCAGCTCCTGCCCCTCCGCCCGGGTCTCGGTCGCCTCGGGCAACGGCGGTGACTGAGTGGGTGTCTGGGTCGAGGTCGGCGATGGGGGCGGGGGCTGGAGGGACGGCAGGGGCTCCCGGGGTGGCGGCGGGGGGGACCCCGGTTCTGCCGTCCCTTCCTGGGCCCCTGGGCCACAGGCGCTGATGCGGCAGCCCGGCATCCCCCGCCCCGCGGCGGTCCCCGGCTGTCGGTACGCTGGGAGGAGAGACGCGGGGCACGAGATGAGGGAGAGGCGACTGCAGAGCCCACACCCAGAGCATGCACCGCCCCGCAACTTATAGCACATGGGGTGGAGCGATGGGCAGAACAGCCAATCGAGAATTGCATGTCCTCAATCGGCTCTGCCCTTCACCAAGAAGCGGGTCCCCAAGCGCCTGAGGTTCCCAGACCTTCTCCCAGGTTGGCCCTTATTTGGGCATCACCCCAAATTTTGGGTAGATAAGTGGCAGCCACTTTCCTCGCCTGGACTCTCATAGCAGTAAACTTCCAAGTGATGCTTAAATGTCATACATTTCAGTCTCCACCCAGAGGAGCGAGGAACATCACCCCTGCCTCCTTTCCCTCTCTGCATGACAGTGAGAGCCTGGCATAGAACTCCACGCTCAGGATCTCCTGGGCCACAAGGCTCGATAGGACTCCCTCCTCCATCATTCTGGGGTTGGGAGAGTGATTAAGGCAGGACAATTGGCGTCCTTAGAAGGTTGAACATGATCGGATTGTTTGCACACCAGGAAGGCACTTGGCTTGCAAAACAAATACCACAGCCACTGTTGCTGGGTCCTCCAACCTTCGTGGGACCCTTAGAGAACTCCAAAGTGTGCAAAATTATTTTTCAGCTCCAGCCCTGCCTGTGTGTGCACCTGCCAGCACTGTGCCTTTTATGTGGAGGGGAAAATTCCGAAGAAGCCGCGATGCCTTGCTCAAGGTCACATTGCAGGATAGTGGACGGAAATGAATAAGCTCAACCATTCCATCAGAGCCCTTTAAGATACTTGAATTCCTCCCCTCCCCCAGGCGCTCGACTCTGTATCTAGGATTTTAATCATCCTGGCTCTATCTAATTTCTTTCCCCACAGCAAAAGTAGCCCTCCTGTTCTCACATTGTCCCAGACTCCAATGTATCTATTTGAATGTGACATTAAAGATGGGAGGGGTCCGTGGTGGGAGAAGGCAAGATCCGAAGGACGGGAAAGCAGCTTTGAACCCCATTAGGAAGGACTGCATCGGTCCCCGTGTTTCAGAGGACCTGCCAAAGGTATGGCCAGCGCCCTGAATCTCAAAGAATCTAAAGAGGAGTCTGGCTAGGAGAGAAGGGAAGTCTGGGTCTCTCCTTCCCGCTGACCCTCCCCTAAGTGCTTACAGGCGCCTTTTGATTGAGTTACTGCGGACTTGTGGGCATGACAACAAGTCTCCAGAGAGGCAGCTCCCCAGCCAGGGAGGAATCAGTTAGATTCAGGGAAGAGAGACGACTCAAAGGTAGAAAAGGGGACTGGAGTAGTTCTCAGAGGAGAGACAGACTGGGGCGATGACTCCACAACAGGAAGAAGAAGAGGAAGGGGCCTGTCAGCTCAGTGAGCTCAGTTCAGTAACAGGACCCAGGGCCAGGCTGCCAGTTAATCGATGCCTAGGTATAAAGACTCCAGGGATGCGGGGGAGGGTTGGTATAGAGACTGGGGGTGGGGCAACACGGCAAAGCGGAGAAAGGGCATGGGAACTCAGAGAGTCAGAGGGTTCAAAGGGAATGAGGGAGGCTCAGGAATTGCCAGGTTGTCTGCAATTAGAACGAGTGCCCTCCCTCCCCCATGGTGGCATCCTAAATATGGACGGGCCAGTTTTTGAGAACAACTTGGGGTCTCTCAGTGCAAAAGCATCTCACCCAGAGAAGCTCAACTGGTGTTTTCTGTATCAAGTAAAAACTGCTGCCAACTCCCCAGATAAACCCTGCTCCCCAAGTCCCAATATTCCTCTCACTCCTTTATGGGGGCACAAGCCGGTATTTCTAGCACTTCCAAAGGGGAGGCAGGAGGATCAAGAGATGAAGGCAAACCTCAGCTACACGAAACCCTGGCTAAAGAGAGAAAGGCCAGGAATGGCAGCCCATGCCCTTCCTCCCAGCACTTGTCAGGCAGAGGCAGAAGAATCTCTGTGAGTTGGAGGCCAGCCTGGTTTACAGAGTGAACTCCAGGGCAATCAGAACAAAATAGAGAAACTCTATCTCAAACAAACAAGTAAACAAACAATAAAGATGGAGGGAGAGTGAGGAGGGTACAATAATGGTAAGGCTATCTAAAAAAATAGTAACAAGGAATCATTACCTAAAATTACATATAATATATATGTCTATGTGTATACACATATATACATAGTTTAAATAAAAATGTCCCACCTGGTCTGACAGTGCTACCACACTATCTAACAAAGCCCCAATATAAAGTTTAAGAAGACCCTTTGGGATTGCTGGTCAGAGTAGTCCAAAAGACTCCTAAAACATTGTAGGCTATGGCCATTTGCCTTGACCCGAGAGACTTCAACCTAGAACCCAAAGACCCAAGGGAGGGGGATGGAGACAAGAGATGCAGAGATTTACCACAAGACAGGATTGTGACCAAGTGGCAAATTTTATTTTTCTACCCAGAGCTTATATAGTTGGTAGAGCAAGGATGTAGGAAAGGGGGCGGAGGAGGGGGATTAAGAAGAATGATTGAGGACCAGGTGTTCTTGCAAGCAGAATATAGAAAATCCCAAAGAATGGATGTTGGCAGGGTGGAAAGATCAAACAAGAAGGGTTACTATAGTAATGGGGCTAGTGGTTCTATGCTAGGCTGATCTTACTAAATAGGGCTAGTTACTAAATCATCAAATCTTTATGGTGTAACTGAAGGCTCTAAATGTACAGCCAAGAGAAACAGCCAGAGTTCAGCCAAGGTTTGTTCCAACTGATCACAGACCCAGTCTCAGTTCTCAACAGCCATTGTCCTTGGTTGCTTCCAGGGACTGAAGGTAAGTCACCATTGCTGAAGGCACTATACACTTTGGACACAGGACCCAAAGTATCCAAGCTAAATCTGACCAGAAATCCTGCTCGCTGAGGACTACCTTTCATGGGACCAGAAGGTTGCATGCAAGCTCCCGGAAGGGAAGCAGCCATTAGTCCTATCCAACTATGATGCCTGTGAACTGTAACACTAAGGGTGTAGTAGTGGCACACATATCTTGGCAGTAACCAATAGCTTTCTGGAAGCCCAGCCAACTACCTCAAAGTAGTGAGGTGATAGATCTTGGAGGAGAATCTATAACTGCCATTTCACTAAAACCAGCACAATTTCTAACTGCATATTCTCAATGTTTATCCTTACTCCCACAGATAAGTGTAGCTCTCACTCTTCATCAAAGAAACTTTGACAGACAGAGACCATTATAGAAAAGCACAGCTGATCAAACTGCAGAGGACAAGTGATCATGTGGTGGTACTCCAAATGATCCATCTACAACTCAACCCCTGCACCTAAGGCTCAGGGACCATCTAGGAAGAGAGGGTAGAATGATTATAAGAGCGAATAACAGGAAGTCTATGAGATTGTGTCCCCTAGAGATGTCAGGGAAACTACACTCATGAAGTCTCAACAACATGGCTGCCTAAACAAGACCAGAACAAGGATGTCACTGGTAGACACTAACATGGTAAGAAATCTCACAGGATCCCAACCCTAGGCAACTAAGGAACCCAAAGAGAAATAGACTTCCCCAGAGAAAACCTCCCCAATACACAAGCACCATATACAAACTGAACAGGTTGTATTTATATTTGTAAAAACATATGTATATGTGTATTATAAATACATATTTATAATGAAATATATTATATTATAAATGATATATATATATATATATATATATATATAATTCAAGAAAAAGAGGTCGTGATTTGAGAGCAAAGGCAATTCATGGGAAGTGTCAAAGGGAGGAAAGGGAAGGAGAGAAATGATGTAATTATATTTTAATTTCAAAACATAATTTTTATTAATTTTTATTTAAATTTAAAACAATCTTATTTTACATAGCAATCCCTGTTCCATCTCTCTCCCATCCTCCCATTCCCCCACCAACACCCCATCCCACCCCTTCAAAATATAGTATTTTTAATAATTTATTTAACCTTTATTTTATATGCATTGGGGTGAAGGTATCAGATCCTCTGGAACTAGAGTTACAAACAGTTGTAAGCTGCCATGTGGGCGCTGAGAATTGAACCCAGGTCCTCTGGAAGAATAGTCAGTGCTCTTAACTGCTGAGCCATCTCTCCAGCCCCCAAAATATACTATTTTTAAAAATACATTTTGAGTATTAGACTGATAAGAACCTGCCTTGGGGGCTGCTGAGATGGCTACACAGATAAAGGCACCATTTCCAAGCCTGACTGTGTGAGTTCCATGCCTGAGAGCTATATGATGGACAGAGAGAACTAACCCCACTAAGTTCTCCTCTGACCTCCATGTGTGCAGTGACACATAGATTCGGGCACACAGAATAAGCGAAAGTATGATAAAAATGTAACTTCTATTTTAAGGAAAAGAGCCGGTGTATATTTGGGGAGCAAAGCTGAACCCCAGCGTTGGTCAGATCCAGGGAACCTCTCAGATCTTGGTTCAAAACTTGCACATACTTCCTTCCAGAGACCTTGGGCATTGGTCTTTCTAAGAAGGACATGATCAAACCATATCTAGTAGGGGCTGGAAATGTGACTCAGCAGTCAGGCTGAGTTCAATCCTCGTACCACATAAAAATGAAAACAATAAGCCAGCTCTGATGACACACGTGGTCAAGAGGAGTGTAAGGTCATCGTCTGCCACACAGCAAGTACCAGGCCAGCCTGAGCTACAGGAGCCTCTCAAAATCCAAAAAACTAGCTAACTCACAGATGATGGATGGATGGATGGATGGATGGATGGATGGATGGATGAAGATAGACAGGTAGATGTTCACTGAATGAGTCAGTGTTCTCTGTCTCTATGAATCATCTATGACATGGAGGTCAGCAGACTTTTCTTGCTGAAAGGAAGCCAAAGCCCCTCAAAGTCCCCTAATTGAGCTGGGTGTGGTGGCTCACAGCTATAATCCCAGGGTTCAAGAGGCTTAGGCACTAAGAATGCCATGGGTCAGAGGCCAGTCTGGGCAACATACTGAGTTCTAGCCATTCTAGTGTATAGCGTGCGGACCAGGGCCACCAGATGACTCATCAGCTAAAAGCACTTGCAGCACAAGCCTGACAATGA